CCAAAACCCAACAAAGATCACACCATCCCATCCAACTACCGGCCCATTAGCCTGCTCCCGGCTATGAGCAAAGTGGTAGAAAAAATTATCCTAACCCGTCTAAGAACCCACTCCCAATAACTTCAAGTCATTCCAGACGAACAGTTCGCTTTCCGACCCAATCACTCCACTGAACTCCAAATCCTTCGCCTTACCGAGCACATCACGGCGGCCTTCAACAGGGGACAGTACACTGGTGCTGTCTTCCTGGACGTCGCAAAGGCCTTCGATACGGTTTGGCATGAAGGCCTACTGATGAAAATGCTCACCAACCAATATCCCATATCCTTTACCAAACTCATAAAATCCTACCTACACCACCGAAAATTCCGCATCCAAATCCAAGATTCCCTTTCCACCACCCGTCCCATGGAGGCCGGTGTCCCCCAGGGCACCGTCCTGTCCCCACACCTATACACCATTTACAACTCCGACATCCCACATCCCCCCAACACCAACATATACTTATACGCCGACGACCTGACAATCACATCCCAATCCGTAGATCCTAGATATTCCGTCTCCCTCCTCCAAAACTCCTTAGACCAACTTGAAACCTGGTGCAACAGGTGGAAAGTCAAAATTAATCCCAACAAAAGTTCGGCTATCCTTTTTACCAAACGAAAAATCCCACAAAACCTCGACAGACTGACACTATCCCAGGAACCTATCTCCTGGAATCGACAAACACGATACCTGGGCGTGACGATGGACCAGCGTCTCACGTGGAAACCGCACATCGTGGAGACGGTGGCGCGAGCGAAGACCACCAGGGCTAGGCTCTATCCCTTACTCAAAGGTGGAAACACCCTCAGTTTAAGGAATAAGCGAACGCTTATCAAGGTGGTACTTCAACCGCAGCTAACCTACGCCTCCACGGCGTGGGGTCACGCGGCAAAAAGCCACTTAAAGTCATTACAGGCTGTGGAAAACATAGCCCTCCGCACGGCCACCGACGCGCCCTGGTACGTAAGAAACACTGACATATTACGAGACTTACAATACACAAACGCTACACAGACAATAAGACAAAACGCGGAGAAACGATTTGACGTAGCCGCTAGACATGACAATCCCCTCCTCAGGCAAGCCGTTGACTACGTACCCGACGTGACCGACAAACACAAAAGACCTAGACACCAACTTTTTGACCCTGGGTGACCACCCCAATGACCCCCCCCCCTGCCCGCTAACCTTTTCTGTTTCAGAGACAGCCAGGATCAAGAAACGAAGACAACGACACACACACACACATACACACCCCCCATACCCTCCTTAACCCTCCCCTCCCGCGCTAGCCTAAGGGCCACCTTAGCAAAGCGCATCCCAGGCTGCATAGCCGCACTACCCTACCCAACCATACCACACATAAACATGACACTACCCCCGGGGTTTACACAGACGAGCCGGCGAAGCAAGAAGAGCGCCAGAAGAAAGGGCCCTAGCCGGCGGGGCCCAGCCAGGACAAAAGGAGGTCCCACAAAGCGCCTACACCGGCCGCATTTGCGGTCGGGGTAGACGACGGATGGGGCCCACCTACGAAGGCTGTCCAGGCCTACACGAGATGAGGCAGGATAAAGAGGGATAATCCCCCTCGATCCCAAATCATTGAGGCCAATTTCTAGCCATAGAATAATGGCGCGAATAATTCTGTGCGAACAAGAACACGCCTTTTAGAATATTCTAGTTCTCATCGTCTATGGCAGTCTGACTAGTGTGCGTCTGTAAGTTCTGTAGTTTACATAACCTCTATTTTAGGTAGAATTTATTCAATTTAAGTGCCTTTTTGTACTTTATCATCGCAAAATATGTGATATATATTTTAACCAGTAATATAATGATGATGGTTATATGAAAAATGAGTGTTATCTATTTATTCATTTTAAGGTTTTGTGCTCCCATGTTGTATAGTATTGTGGGATTCCCCTTCCGCAGAATTTACGGGCTCGAACTTAGCCTTGGCCACGTCGTCTTATTTGATTGGCTAAGACTTATCTTGTTTTGAATTCATAAAAAAATAATGATGCAGCAAGTAGTTCACCGAATTTATTACATATAGTTGGGAAATGAGCAGTAAGCTTGAATACAATATCGATAGTATATTTAATTATTTAATTAAAGAAAAATGGCTGAAGATTTTACACCTAGGAATTATCAAGTTGAGCTGATGAAAATTGGTCTCGAAAAAAATACCATAGTTTTCCTTCCAACAGGATCTGGTAAAACATTTATAGCATTGATGATATTAAAACAAATGAGCAGTAGTCTACTCAAGTAAGTATTTTTAATGATTTTAATGTGATTTTATAGTTTTGCTTGTATTCACATAGGTCTTACAGCGAAGGTGGAAAAGTTACTGTGATTTTAGTTAATACTGTTGCATTAGTTGAGCAACATGGAAAATACGTTAAAGACCACACAAATTTTTCTGTGGGTCAGTACACAGGTGATATGAATTTGGATTTTTGGCCAAGAGAGAAATGGTATGATGAATTTAATAAGTATCAGGTTCTGATACTGACTTCACAAATTTTTGTCAATCTTGTCAATAATAACTTTATGGGTATGTATACCTATTTATTTTATCATTTTTAAGACCTATATATAGCTCTGTTCATATTGGTACATTGGTACAAGTACATCTAGAAGGAATATATAAAAAAGATCATTCAGTTTGTGCATCTCAGAAAAGTTTTAGAGGTGTGTTCTGGTTCTAGTGGGACACTCAGTATCTACCGCAGAGTGTTACATTTAACATGAAAATTGTCATTAGCTACTAGAATAATGGAAAACATGAAAAGGGTTGAAAATGTTTTAGACAATGAACAGACTCAAATTTTTGTATGGTACATGACATAACTTATACGTAATTAGTTATTGGAATAAGGTGGCAACTACTGTAGACAATCTAAGCAATTACAATAGTGGTGGCTATGTTCCGGCGACTAATTTTCCAATAAGTTTGCTGCTGGAAATTTCACAAAAAAATGCTTAATTTAACGTATGGGTAAAATAAAGTTATTCAAACCTTTTAAGAATTTTTGGAGATAATATTTTCGATCTGTTAAATAAGGTAAACGATCTGCTTCTATTACAAGTCAAAATTTTCTCTATTTCAAAAATAATGTTTGTGAACTTTGATAATTTCAATGCGGAAACCATATGTATGTGCAAGACCATCTGCTGGTATAGTGGCACAACACATTAGAACCGAAGCCATTCTGAATTATTTTAATTTGAAATTTGTACTACTAATTTTTTTTCAGAATTTATGGAACTCCCTATAATGTTCTATTACATAATATCCAGTAAGCAATATTTAAAAAATGTTTAATGGATGCCGTATCTATTGTAACCATAGACTGTATGTTTACGGCTTGAGTGTCCAAGAACAGGGAAAACATTCAAATTTTTTATTCTACAAAAAAATTTTTGTTGATAAAAAATTGTCCATGTTTTCATACAGGGTGTACGTAAATTTCACCGACAACATTTGACTGCATATTCACGACAAGAAATAAATATGACCTACAAAAAAAAGTTATATGAAAATTTTTTTTTTGGAGGCCTTCAAAGTTGTCAAAAATAAAACTAATTTAATTAATAACTTCATAACCCTTTTACGGATTGCATTAAAATTTGGCACATTTATTTGAACTATTATGGGTATTATTTCTTAAAGCTTTAGTCAAATCGATATACTGGGTGATAGTTTTCTCCGGTTACCTCTCCCTTTTAGCGGTCAAAACTTTTACAGTGGTCGTATTTTTTTAAAACTGGCAACATTGAAAAGGTCATTTCATTTTAAAAAAATATTTCCCTTGAGAAAATCACCTACAGAAAGCCATCCTTGAGAAAGATGGCATTATTTTCAGGTCTGTGCGTTTCGATTTGCATAGCAGTGTCACGGGTTTAAAAGTTTGAGTTCAGTAGGCGATGAAAACAAGATGTTGATTGCTGTAGCTCTAGGTAATGTCATTATTGTCGTGTTTCTTTAGGATTCTCATCACTCTACACATACAAATTGTGAAATATCCGCAGTGTATCAAGACAATTAAATGTATGTAAAACTAATGTTCACAAAACATAAAAAAAGACTTCTTCGAACATTTTATTTAACTCCTACTCAAGAACTTGAAAATTTAGATCCCAACGCACGTTTACAATTTTGCCACTGGTTGGTAAATGGCTTCGCAGAAGATAATAATTTGCTTCAAAAATAGTTTTGTACCGACAAATCTTGTTGTACAAAGAACGGAGTTGTCAATTTTCATAATTTGCATGTGTGAAGTGGTGAGAATCCTAAAGAAACACAACCATAATGACATTTCCTGATAGTCACGACTCAAAGTTTTAAATCCGTGACATTGCTACGCAAACCGAAACATACAGACCTGCAAATAACATCATTATTCTCAAGAATGGCTTTCTGTAGGCGATTTTCTCAAGAGACAATATTTTTCTTAAATAGAATGACTTCTTCAGTGTTGCTGCCTGTTTTACCTCTAAAATGGAGAGGTAACCCGAGAAAACTATCACCCAGTATATATATATGACTAAAGCTTTAAGAAATAATACGCCATAATAGTCTAAATAAATGTACCAAATTTTAACGCGATCAGCAAAAAGATTATGAAGTTATTAATTAAATAAGTTTTATTTTTAACAAGTTTGAAAGCTTGTAACTTAAAAACCAAAAATTTTTTATTTAACTTTTTTCGAAGATCGTTTTTATTTATCTTCCTGAATATGCAGTCAAACGTTGTCGGTGAAATTTGCGGACATCCTGTATAAGGTTGCCATGGAGAATTTTAAATTTACATGTACAATGTTCAGGAATTCAAAAAATCTTAAAATGGTTTTCTAAATAGTAATAAAAAATTTGTTAATATTTTTTTGATAGCATAATTTTCAGAATTTTAATTTCCCAAAGATCCCAAATACGCAATATTAAAATTCTCCATGGCAACATTACTTGAAAAATAAGCAAATTTTTTAAGAATGACATAAAATGAAAAAGTGAGGGTTCGGCAAAATTTTCAGATTCGGGGTTGCTCCTCTCCTGGTGTCGGTATTTAGCCATAGACAGAGCAAATAAAAATGTTCTTTATGCTTAAAGTGTGCTCTAAAAAATAATTGTTGCCACCTTCATGAAATATTTATGCCAAAAATTATATATATTATACAGGGTGTTTCAGAGAAACCTGCTGTAAATACATATATTAACTATTTGTCTCTTGTTTTCGAGATACAGAACGACAAATTAAAATTTTTTGAATAAAATTTTTATGAAAATTTCCAAACGGTGCTAAATATTCTTATGAAATTTGGTACTCCGGTGTTTTTAAGGACGCCAAATATGCTGGTTTAATTCTTTTTTGGATATTTCATAGAGGGCGCTGTTATGCTACATTGCTATTATGTTTTAAGTTCTGTGGGTACACATGTTCGCAAGTGACCCATTTTGAGTGTTGCGTCAATAGCGCCATCCTGATGCCACCCCGGACGCACCAGAGTTCCCGGAAGACGACCCCGGCAGATTAGCGCCAAGGACCAGGTACTTCTGCCAGCGACTCCACACCAAGCAGGACTCTCCAGCAAACACGTCTTTTTCCACAAGCTTAGTTTTCAATAAAACTACTTTATTTGTACCATTGAGAGAGCGTTTTATTTTTGCTGTACATAGAAAGATACCCTCAGTTCTAATTTTTTTATAGTTAGTTTTTTTACCATTCGGGCGTCTAATATACAATTTTATTTTCTAAAAATAATGTTAGAACTTCCTAATGTGGATGATTTTCGAGAAAAAAGGCTTTTAATTAAACTTACAATATTATGGTACATTTTTCAAAGCAGGCTTATGTCGAGTCTTATTGTTGGATGTCTCATAAACAACGCATACGTTCTTAGTAATATTTTAAACTAATTAAATAGGTATATTAAAATTTTAGTGATTTTTAGTGACTGTAGTTAATAATAACTAATTACAGTTACTAAAATTTTGATATAAAATTAATTAGGGTTTAAAATATTACTAAGAATGTATGCCTTGTTCATGAGACATTCATCAATAAGTTTTGACATAAGCCTACTTTGAGAAAAGTCATTTATTTTCTTCACCGTAATATTGTAAGAGTTCAATTAAAAGCCTTTTTTGTCGAAAACCGTCCACATTAGGAAGTTCTAACAAGAGTACTTTATTTTTAGGAAATAAAATTGTACATTAGAAATTGGAGCCCAATTGGTAAAAAACCTAACCTTAAAAAAATTAGAACTTAAAATGTAATAGGAATGTAACATAACTAGTGCCCTCTATGAAATATCCAAAAAATAATTAGACCGCCAGCGTATTTGGCATCCTTAAAAACCCCGGACTACCAAATTTCATAAAAATATTTCGCACTGTTTGGAAATTTTCGTATTCTATTTAAAAACATTTATTTTGTCACTGTATCTTGAAAACGAGGAGAAAAAAAATTCTCATATTTTGTCGTACTATCAGCCCCTCTATTTATAGGAGGTCTTTCTTAAACACCCTGTATATTATTTAATTAATTACCTACCTATAAGATGAGGTAACACTTGTGTTTCATTAAAAAATAATTGTCTCAATTTTTTACAAATTTCAACATAGTGCTGTTGTCAAACATTAAATAGATATTTTTTAGTAAATGTTTATTTAAACATTTATATGTATCCATGAACATGTATATGTATTTAAAAATTTATGTTTTTGTTACAGTTTGAACTTTGAATCTTAATCTTTCTTGTTAATAATGCATTAATTTAAAAACATTAAAAAACTAACAAAAATAAAACATTTCTGGATGTTAGATTTTCCTTGTTTACTGGGTAGATAATGGAAAATGTTAAATTTCAATAAAAACTATTTAATCCATAATGTATCTGTATGTTTTCAGACTTAAACAAAGTGAATTTATTAATATTTGATGAATGCCATCATGGTGTTAATGACCATTCTATGAGGCAGTTAATGAAAAATTTTGGCAGTTTAGGAGATCCTCCAAGAGTTTTAGGATTAACCGCCACTTTACTGAACGGGAATTGTAAACCCCATAAGGTGATGCAAGAAGTTCAAACTTTAGAAGTTACTTATCATAGTAAGGTAGCTACAGTAGATGGTTTAAATATTGTTGTTGGGTAAGTGGACTAATGAAAATATACAGGTTATAATTTTTGTAATAGCCTATCCTTATGTGAAATTCTATAAAATATTATATTTATATAAAATACTTATAAAATAAAGTCAATATATTTTCACATTTACTATAGAGGGTGCCTCCCAAACTTCGACACCTTCAATAGATATGCTTAGTTGTGCTTTAAAATTTTCAAAATAATTAGTGAGAGTGAATACTATTTTCTCAGGTCTACTGGCTTGACTGCCAAGGGAATATAAATAGAGAAGCAAATTAATTTTACCATTTATTATACAAAATACATGCTCACACCTCTGAGGGGTTTCTTTTCCGGCGGGGGGCAGATTGGCCTTTTTGCCATCAACAGAGTACTGGCCATCAACTGGCTGCCAATTGGCCCCGATTCACCGGGGTTTAAATATTTTTTTACAAAATGTTTAGTGCATTAGATTTAAGGTAGTTTTCACTTAAATGGACACTATTCAAGATAATTACAAAAGTTTCAGTATAATTAATTACTTACTTATGCACCTGATAAATAATTTTGCCAAATTTCAGCACATTTAACTGCATAGTTTCTGAGTTATGCTTAATCAAAGTTGACTATGTTTTGCATAGGCTTAATGGTGCCGCCTCGAAAAATGTCATTATGATGAAAATGTTGCTGTAGCTAAATAACCCTATTCGAGAAACTGCTTAAATTTTAGGCAAGACTAATTTGTGTAGAAATACATTATATATAACAATTTGGAAAAGATTGATCAACTAGGATTAAAGATATTAATACTTAAACTTTTAAGTTTTTTTGCATTATAATTTCGCACATTGAAGAAAGTTTAGTTTGCTCGTGTTCTGACATTCTACAAAATTTTGAACTAAAGCCTTTTTCCTTTCAGTTTGTGTTTTTCGTTTAAAGGAACTAATAAAATAAATCAAACAGTAAGGATGATTCCTTCAAAATTTTTTAAAAACTTGCCAAACGATTGTAATGCATCCACTATATTTAACAGTAACTTAACCTAACCTTGTGCAGCATAAATATAAGTTTCCATCAATCTCTCACACACAGCTGCGTTCTGTACGACGTTGCCAGTTGTCGAAACTACCTGACTCAAACAAGAGACTTGCTCGAAAGTTTTCTACTTGAGCATTGAACTTGGGATATATCTACCTGACCTGACCGAGTCGATATTTCAGTTTATAGAGAGAGCGAGGGAGAGAGACATAGTGCAAGGGTCAGTTCAATATGTATACAGTTTGCAACTGGACACTTTTGTTGCATTTAAATCTATTGTGTAATGCTAAAATGTAATTCATTCCAATTAGATTTATAAATTTTGTTCTATGAAATGAAAATGAATATTCGTACCGAAGATATTTTTACACCGATCTATCAAAAAAATTTGTCCAATAGAAGTAATGCCCTATGTCCATACATATTTATCTTTCAAAGTTTTTACGACAACACAAGGTGATTATTTAAGTTTGAAAATTACTCTTCCACTTTCTGAAATACTTATAGTTGACAGTATATAGCATAACTATTATTTTTGTTTGTCCTGTTTCATGAAAATTCCTCAGAATAATATAAAAATGGAAAATGATGACTTATTGTATTGGCCAACATAAAATTTAGGAATTTCCGTTAAATATTGAGGCAATTCTGTAGCATATTCTAGGTTTATAATTAAGCGATTAGCCTTTGCTGTTGGCTGTGTTTGCACTACCATCTACATTGCAGAGAGGAGCTATGTATATGGCATTGCAAAGAGCAGCGGCTAATGGCTTAAGTATAGACTTACAATATGCTGGATTTAAAAAAATACCAACGCAAATATCTCACTATTGACAAATATTAAGCTAAAATGGTATGTCTATCAGAATCACAGAATTAATTGTATATTTGTGTTTACATTTATTGCAGAAACATAATACTAATGCATAAATCAAACTATGTCATTATATATTTTGTAGTTGCCAGAGCAGCAGTGTTATAAGCAAAACCACTTTCAAAACTTGTAACCTAACTATAGGCTTTTCTTAAGGGTTTTATTAAAAAAATGCAGATTTCCATTCACTATAAAAAAACCTTCACTTCAAACAGAGATAGGGAAAGTTCAAATTTCTTTAATTCCTACTTAATTTTTGCAATTTTTTTGACAGACAATATTTTATAATCTAATAAATAAAAATTAAACACATTTCAACCTGGAAAAAAACTAAACTTATAAAGGATAATACCTAGCAAGCCATTCCCAACTTTTGCATTTTTTCTCAAAAACGAAATTTTGCAAATTTCAATTTGTTATCTAACACATTGGTTTCATGTATAACTTATTTAAAAACTAATCAAATCTAGCTATTTACCACCTCTCAAAACATATGTTTTCTGAATTTTAGTATAATACATTAATTTACTTTTGCAGGTACTAGTCTGCTTTATCTTGAAAACAATAGATGATAGACCCATAGTTGATAGGAAAAAACTATCTAATTTTTTTTAATATAATGAGCGTTCAATTAAAAACGTGGTCAAGTTGGTTCTGAAAATTTGGACGTAGGGCGTAGCGTATAGCAAATGAACTTAAACGTCATCTGTCAAAGCGCTATATCGCCCCTATCAATTTGAATATTTTCATTTTAAAAAGCGTTTAAAATGGTGTTTTCTCAAGAACAAAAAGTGTTTATCATAGAGTCCTACTTTAGAAATGGACGCAAGATTGATGGAATATGGAAGTATTCTATTGAGGAATGTTTCATAGAATTTCAAAATCAATTTCCCGGCCTTGTTGAGTACAAAATTTTTCAAAGTGCAGTTCAACGTTGTGTTAATGTTTTTCGTGAAACGGGCAGTGTAACAAGAAAAGAAGGAAGCGGCCGACCTAAAAAGCGGACTGAAGTGTTAAAAGAAAATGTCCAACAAATAATGGAAAATGCGCCAAGAACTTCTGTACGTGTTTTATCACAAATGGTGGGAGTATCAGTCGGTACCTGCCACACAGTGTTAAAAAAAGATTTGCGTTTGTTCTCCTATCGTTTAACTTGTCAGCAAGAACTTCATGAAGTTGATTTTCCGCAACGGGCTGTATTTTGTGAATGGTTTTTAAACAACTACGGTGAACTTCATAATATCACCTTTTTTTCTGATGAAGCCTGGTTTCATTTAAGTGGTTACGTAAACTCACAGAATATGAGAATGTGGTCTTCTGAAAAACCAGATAACTTTTTCGTCGAGGGCCCTCTACACGCTCAAAAAATTGGAGTTTGGTGTGCTCTCAATCGAAGGAGGATTTATGGACCTATTTTTTTTAATGGTACTCTTACTGCGCAAAGGTATAGAGAAGAAATTATCGCTCCTTTTGTTAACCAGCTGGAAGAAAACGAAATTACAAACTTTTACTTTCAACAAGATGGCGCAAGGGTACATACGGCATGCGAGACGATGAATATGTTGAGGGAAGTTTTCCAAAATTGACTAATAAGTCTTAATGCTGAACATGAATTTCCACCGATGTCATGTGATATTACGCCGTGTGATTTCTTTTTGTGGCCTTACCTTAAAAACACTATTTTTGAACTGCCTATTCCTGATTTAAACTATCTGCAGGCTCGACTTATAAACAAGATTCGTGAAATTAACAATACCCCGAACATCTTAGAAAATGTCTTTAATTCTTTGAGGAACAGGTGTGAAAAGTGCTTGGAACAAGGAGGGGGACACTTTCAGCAGCTGCTTTAATTTATTGTTATAACAAGGAGGGGGACACTTTCCGCAGCTCCTTTAATTGTTTGTTATTGTTATCACGATTATTCTTTAAAATAAAGTTATATAGTCATTAACGTTATTGAAACTGACAGCTCCTATACAGCTCGTTGAGAAATGAGGTTAAGTTGGTCGCTATAAGTTACTCCCTACGTCCAATGTGTCAGAGCCAACTTCGACCACGTTTTTATTTGAACGCTCTTTATTTTCCCTGAAATTTTTGGTGCATTATTCTGAAAAACCCTGTTATATTTTGTTACGCACAACATTAGCAGAATACAACAGGGCGATTATTTGTTATTTATTTTAGGTATTCTACAAATCCTCATGAAAATTTTAAAGTATGTTTGGAACATAGCCCTATTTATGTTGAAGGGATTACTCTCAAGATATTAGAAAAAGCTGTTAATGTAATAAATGAAGTAAAACCGGAATCAGTGACATTAAATTTAAAAACATTGAAGCCATTAGAGCCTGTTATAGGATATAAAAAGTTATCAAATTTAGTAGTAGATCTGATGGAACAGATCCAAACAATGGGTACATACGGTGGCATTAAAGCAACTATTGCGCACATGATTCAAACTGAACGCATAAGGAGACACTGTCAAGATCTTAATCTTTATCACCTCCTTAGCTTTGTTATAACTACATTTTCCTTTGTTAAGGAGTTGCTGTTAAATTCTGTGAAGGCTATGGATGAAAAAGATCAAATTTATAAATCCTCCTCTAATAAAATTTTATGTTTGATTGAGATATTAAAAGAGTATAAACAGGTGTCTAATGAAGAGCTCTGCTGTATTATTTTTACAGATAGAAGATTTACAGCTAAAGTGGTATACCATATTCTGGATGGTTTAAGTCAATGTGATCCAGAATTGTCATTTTTGAAACCAAATTTTGTAGTTGGTGTTAATAATAACCCATACAATGATACAAGAGAAAATTTATTTTGCTCGAAAAAGAATAAACAAGTCTTACAAAGTTTCGTCAATAAAGAAATTAATGTACTTGTTGCATCTAGTGTGTTAGAAGAAGGAGTTGATATTCCTAAATGCACCCTGGTTGTCAAATTTGATCAACCTAAGGATTACAGATCATATATTCAATCTAAAGGAAGAGCTAGACACAAATCGAGCTTTTATTATATAATAGTTGAGAGAAAAAATACTGAGAAGTTTATGGAAAGATATAAGGAATTTCAATTGGTAGAACAAACATTGAACGATGTAAGTGTTTCTTTAATTTTTATATAAAAACCAATTATTTGATATTTATACTCACTTGTTTTTTTGTAAAATTGGTCAAGTTATTGACATATTTTAATTATTTAATATTCTATTTTAACAAATGGGGTAATGGTAATAAGGTGGTACATTACATACCTCTCGATCTATACACAGTGCTTTAGGAATACGCAGCTAGTGGCATTACATATCACAGCTTCTCTATCTCGCTCAAAAAACAATGAACTAAGATAATGAAGGTTAAATTTTGGTTATAATAAAGGAAATTTTTGAAAAAAATTGAAAATTAGATAAAAAACTTTTGCTGTCTATAACTTTTTATTAGTCGGATGTTTAGTAGTAAATATGAATAGTAAAGATTTAATACAATAAAATAACAAATGTTTTAGTGCAATAAAAATTTATATAAAAGAGATGTTGAAACAAAAATTTTAGTTATAGGGGTCTTGCACATAGATTGCACATAATTGCAACTATAATTCAAAAACGACATTCTTTTTACATAGGTAACATTTATTACACAGATCAAATAGATCAAGATACTGTGCCACCTTGCATAATTAACATGAAAAGGATATAAAACGGCTATTTTTATATCTGTCTTTATTTTGGATACGTTGAAAGATATATTATATTTTAGTACCTAATTGGTAAAAACATAAGTCGAGAAGAACCCTCGGAGGCTGACATAGAGAAAATGTACAATGAGGATGAATTGCCTCCATATTATGTCGATGGTCCTGGTTCAGCCCAAGTTAACATGTTATCTGCAATACCTTTACTGTGTCAATACTGTGCCAGTTTGCCTTCAGATATATATACGGTATACGCTCCTGAATGGTATATAGAAGAGAAATGTGAAGGGGGCCTTTTAGACTGTAAATTACACCGTGTTGTAATATTGTTGCCAACAATATGTCCCGTTGTGGATTTGATAGAGGTATGTTTTTAGTATTTCTCATATAATATGTATATATTCAAGGAACAAATCATTTACAATAATTTAATATCATTTCATTGTGTAGTTGTTTATGCCCTGATTGATTTTTATTATTCTTTCTTTCTTGGCTCAGAGTTAGCTGTATTTTATTTAACCAACTATGTCAGAATTGATTGCTTAAAAATATATTTAAAAATTCAAACCTTATTACTGAGTAAAGTTCCCAAATGTTAATAAAGTACAGCATTGTTATCGCCTTGTGATGTACAAGACTATGGATCTTATTTATTGCAGAAAACTTAATAATAATAATAATAATAATAATAATAATAATAATAATAATAAGGTTTATTGACCAAAATTACAAATTATAATTCTATAATTAGTGTGGTCAATAGGTCATTGATCAGCTGAAGCTGTTCTTCCTCAAAGACCTGGAAAAATAAAATTTGTATTTTTTTACATTTTTCCCAATCTATACCCAAAATAGAAATATGAAGCATTTAAAAAATATACAATGCCTTAACGTATAATATTAAAAAAAAAAAAACAACAACCAAACCT